GAATTTTGCTGTACTTTCTGTATAGACAAGGGGATATAAGTACTTTTGTTATTTTATGAAAAAAATTTAAAATTAGAAAGCGTAAATCCGTAAAACTACAATAGGAATATGTATGTACACAATAAGTACTATACAAACAATTACAGCTACAATATAAACTAAATAATGCTACAACTATTGTGATATAATTTAAAAATGTCATAGGCACTTTTAATTCTATAAGCCATATTCTTTATATACGGTGAAATATCAACAATCATCTCGTACTTACGACAAACTACTATGTATCAAGACAAATGACTTTATATGTAGACTTTGCTAACCCTGTGAAAGCACGTACATAAAAACACAAATCCAAAGTACACTAAATTATAATACCCAATGTTGTTTATGACAATCCGAAGAGGATTCTAGAAGAATAACTTTTGACGACATGTTATTAAACGGATGTTTATGTTTGTCGTAATATACAGTATATAAATGTTTTTTGTGGCATTATCTGGGGCATAAACCAAGCTTTTGTTGAGATTAATATTATGGATGATGATTATTCAAAATATGAAGTTCATATATATAGTAATACATTTTTGCTAAGCAATTAAATCACACTGGCTCAACATAGCTTACAATAGACTAAAAGTGTAAAAAAACAACGGTTGTCGTTGTGTTTGTTTACTCTATGGTAATAATCAATGTACTTTTTAAGGTCTAAAAACCAGTACATAGTAAGGTACTTTTCAGATTTAATACTATGTCTAAGTTTAGGAGTGAGAAAGCAATATCATTCTCCATTTTAAAATACGAGGCGACTTGTAACCTAACAAATTGTTTAAAAAAATTTTGTCCAAATGTCACATACTATGTAAAATACGCATACGAAGTACGTAGTACGATCTTTAACTCTATCAGAGATAGTAAATAATTGTACTTATACGCTTGTAAATTTAAAAGTGTATTTTGTGGTATCTCCACATTTGGTATTACAATATCTAAAAGCATGCAACCCTGATTAACTTGATAACAATAGAAGTTGTAACCAAAATACAATTTATGCTACAATAAGACTCATGATAGCTCAAGAATCAAAAGTTTAACTTTGAAATTGTAGTAAAGTTAACTTCAACAAATTAAATTTGCAAGCGAAAATGTTATTTGTAACACATGGCAATGGTAAAAACTTTACTACTGTAGTATACCAAAAATACAGACTACAAAGATACTGTCAAACGCTGACAAACAGATAAGATATTATCAAAAACATTGTAAAAAGCTACAAAAATGTACAATCTTAAAGAAAATACCGCTGAGGGCTACAAAATCTGCAATTGAAGCGCGTGATACGAAATGTCACAAGATGAACAAAGAAAAACATAACGCTAATTATAGCACAATGAAGGGTAAAAAGTTACTGACCAAGTATCACAAATATTATTTTTCGTTTTAATTCGATTAAAAACAATGTCTTTGGGATAAACAGAAACGCGAAAACTCAATCTACGTCACGTGGCACTAAGTTAACATATGGTACTATAATATGTAATAGTATGTCTATGATGCGGGTAAAATACGGGATTTTTTTCTCTTGATTTTTACTGTTCACAATTTGAAACTCATACAGTATAGTGAACTCATACTCTATATAGTGAACCATCTGTATAAGCGACTCTCCTTATAGTAAACAAGAAAATTGGCCCCGCCAAGTCAATTTGCAGAAGTCTCTCTGTAAAGACAACAAACACCCTTTATAGTAAACACAAAATGTCGGCCCCTTCGGGTTGCTTATATAGTGAGAGTACAGTATAATTAATTTTTTGTGACTCGTGTTATTATTAACATTTACTTTATAAAAATACTGATAGTGTTGGTAATATTAACGAAAGTGGTTCCAAAAAATTTTAGCATTAGCACACACGGACCCGAGGGCAGGGGCTCAGACTAATAGCCGAAAATTGACATGGTTACTTTACAGATCTAGTCATAACATTTTAGGTGGGGATACTCCCTCCCTCCTTCTTTTTTACAATTGACTGCGCAACTCTAAGCATAGTGATATTGTGATAGGTAACGAGACTTTATCAAAACTTGAAAATCCCTCGCAGTTTTAACACTATTGAATTTTTCCTGAATATAAAAAGCAACACCTGTGCAAACTGAACACGCGGAATTTTAAAGTTGTTCACAGTTTTAAGTAAAACAATAGAATAAAATATGTCTAAAAGCAAAGCAATTTTAACAACGGAACGTAAAATTATGAAGGTTTTCAAAATTGCTTTTAGTTTTTATCTAAATTTTTAAAATTTAATAACGATTACAATTTTGACCAAAAGTCATGTAAACTTTAAAAAAAAAATCAAATCCAATCAAATAGCCTAAACTTTAGAAAAAACTCAAAACCTTTTCAAAACTTTTTGAATCAAAAACAGTTCCGTATGATATTAGTATGCAAATCCGTGTGTGATAATGTGATTATCTGCTCTTAGAGGCGTCAAACTATAAAAGTTAAGGCTCAAGCAAAATTGAACGAACAAGGTTTATTTCATAGTAAGTATGACTTGTAAATATGGCATACAGTGAAACCACTTTAGTATGACCCTCAATAGTGTGGCACCTTCCTTATAATGACAGGTTCGGTCCAGTCACTTGAGTGTCATACTAAAGCGGTTTGGTTGTATGCAAATTTGTGACAGTTATGAAAAGTATTTTGGTACAAAGTAAGTTAAGCAACGATACTTCGATATTCAAAAAAAACTTGAAAAATTGTAAAACACCACTTGGATAATGATAAAAACTAAGTGCATCTAATTTACTACTCATATTCTTCCCAACATTTTTCTCAAACATACATAACTATGTATGTCATAACGTATTCAACAAACTTCAGACAACATTTTTTCTTTTGCCATAGTAAAGTGCATATTTCTTTTTGACAAGAAGGTCGGTAAAAAGTTGTAAAAACATAGGATGAGGATTGGTTTTTGTTGTTTTAAAATTATGAAGTCAAGTAATACGGAGATACCGCGTCGAAAAACAATTCATCATAGTATGTTATGTACAAGACATGGACGTTTACACGCGTAAAATTACATTTAGATACTGTAAAAACAGTGTTGTTATGACAAAGAATCTTTGGTCTTATCGGGAGTAAAAATTAAAAGTTAATGTCATAAAGTTATGTGCTGAATTTTAGGAAAATGAGGGCTGGGAATACTGTATGCATATACCATTCTTACCACATTGCTTTAAGTCCAAAAATACGAAATAATTGCTGACAAATCTACCACAAACCGCCAAACATACTACTATAAGCATTCTAATAATACACCAAATTACTCTAATCTCCCAAATTAATGTAACATGCTCTAAGTCGAAATTATAACATATTCTGCGGCCAAAAACAACAATAGCTCCTTTTTTAAAATAATTTTAAAATAAAAAAGTAATCTTTGGTAATCCGGAAATTTCATTTTTTAAATTATTTTGGTCGTTCACGAGTAACCGGATGTTTCGTATGTTTTCAAAGAAAAAAATCTTTGGAAAAAGGAAGACAGTGTTGGAAAAACAACCAAAACTAAATTAGTGGGATAAGTTAGGGTAGGGCAGAATAAAGTAGCATAAGGTAGTGTGAAATACAGTACAGTAGCGTTGATTAGGGTTGAGTAAGGTAGTGTAGGGTAGGGCAAGGCAACGAAAGGAAAGGCAAGGCAAGGCAAAGCAAAGCAAGGTAGGGTATGGTAGGATAAGGGAGGTATGCGTAGGATAGAGTAATCTAAAGCAGTGTCTTTTTACCGTGACTTATAACTCGAGTCTACAGTAATTATAAAATTTCTTGCAACTTGTATTTGAAACACTTAGACAGTCCAAATTAGTTAGCTAATGAATTATTGAAACACATAAGTAACTAAGGAGATGAACGTATAAGAATTGTAAGGATAAGCTGAAACGTCTAACCAAAGGTCAACAATATAGAGCTAATACTTGTTGGTTATTCATTGTTTTATACTATTTTTGTCGTCTTTTTGCTATCAAAAACAAGTTTTTACAAAAATTACAGTATTTGCCAATTTTTGGACAAAAACGATCATTCTTACAAAGAAATTTTAAGTACCAATGGTACCCGTAGTACCATTAAGATTATAAAAAGGAAAAACTGTGTTTCAGTATTTTTACTCATAAAAGTTTTGTATTGAGGATTTATGGTACTATTTTTATAGCTAGTACCTTTGGTACACTTAGTACTTGAAAAAAGATAACGAAGAAAATTCTAATAACATACTTTTTCAAATTTTAAAGTTTAAAAATATTCTTCGCAGCTTTGTAATTCTACGTATCTAAACACACCCTCCCCAGCCAACAATTAACCTCTAAACATTTTAAAATGCAACTCGATAAGCCTTAATTACCGTAACGAAAACGTGAAATTACTCTTCCAAAGTTTCAGAGATTAAACACAATGGAGAATGTTTACTATGTCACAAAAAGATACTCGAAAGGCATGAATTGCATATTAATACAAAGTCTAAATTTATCAGGAATTCCGCACGTTACTCAATCTCAGCGTGCTTTTCCGAGAATGAATTCGAACACCACAGTAAGGAGGGAGGGGGTTGTAATTTATGCGCATTAATGTCGTTTACTGCGTTTACTGTGTTATGAGTTTTGTAATAAAAATATTAAGTAATTTTAATTTTAGCAGCAAATGGGTAAAATAGGGCAGGGTAAGTCGGGTAAGGTGAGATCGGATAGGGTAGGGTAGAGCAAGATAAGGAAGAGTAAGGTAGAGTAGGTCAGGGTATTGTAGAGTAGGGCAAGGGAGAGTAAGGTAGAGTAGGGTATTGTTAAATAGGGTACGGTACGTTAGTATAGGGTAGCATAAGTTAGGGTAATGTGGGGCATGATAGGGTAGTTTCATTACCGTAACTCTTAAAACGAGTCTACTATAAGCCCATAAAAGCGCTGCACTAGTTTACCGAGCAAAAAAAAGACCGGGTCTTCTTTCACATCTAGTCTACACTAACTGTAATGTAAAATTCCTCAATAATTCAATCAAAACAATATGGTGTAAAGTTTATTCTAAAGTTAATTAAAGCGACTTTTTTTAATTTTTACCGTTTTGTTGAATTGTTGTATCTTCTTTTGGTGTTACCACCACGATCATTTGAAGCCCGTTTTTTATTTTTATTTTCACATGAAACGTTGTTATCTTTGAGCATACTTAACAAATTTCGAATAATGCTGTCTGGATCAATTTCTTCTTCTTCATTATCACTCGTATATCGTTGGTCACCTCTTTGATTTCCATTTGTATTTGAAGCTCTAGTCGATTTATTTTTGCCTCGAGACTTTGAAGATGGTGAGGAATAGCTATCATTGTATCCCTCTTGGTCATAATTAGAGTTGTTGTAAGATGAATATGTTGGTTGCGTGTCAAATTCAATTTCTTGTTCAGTTTTAATTATAAGGCAATCATCAGCTTTTTCTTGTGTTTCTTCATCTACTTGTCTTTCTTCTTCTGGTTCTTTTTGCTTTTCTTTTTTATTTTTCTTTTTATTTGTTGGTTCTTCATTACTTTCAGGACGTTCTACATTATTTTCTTGTTTTTTCGTTTGTGTTTTACTTCTCTTTCTTGTTCCTTTTTCATTTTTGGGTCCTTCTGGTGACTCATGGTGCAGTTCTTCTACTAGCTCACGGTGTAGTTCTTCTACGTGATTTTCCCTATTTTCTTCAAAAGGTCCTTCTCTATTCTCCTGTGTTTCTTTTTGTGGTTTAATTCGTTTGCTGTTTATTCTTCTTTGGTTTTCACTTACTTTGGGCAATTTATCTGTTTGTTGGGCTTCATTTTCTTGGCTTAACTGCTCTTCTTCTTGCTTTTTCTCTCTTTTTTCTTTTGTTTTACTTCGTTTTCTTTTTGAATTTTTATTTTTTCGTTGCTCATTGTCACTATTTTCAACCTGAGCTTCTTCTTGACCTTCTTCAACTTGTTCGCCATTTTCTTTGTCTTGATTTTCTTCTTTTTCTATTTGGTTTTCTTCATAACCATTTTGATCTTCATCTAATAGATGCCTTTCTTTACTAGCATCTTGTATCTTTTTTATTTGACCCGATTCTGTGTTTTCTTTATCTGGAGTTATGTCCAGTTTGTGGCACAGCAATACCCTGTTTCTTGGCGTCCATGTTTTATCATCGACGTATTTTAAGAACAAATCTTCCATAGCTTTGGCTGTGCGAGATCCTTTGTCTTTTTTGTTGGTCAGGAAATAGTGGACGAACTCGAGCTTGCCTGAAATATAATGTTATTCATTTCTATGCTCTAGTACCTCTTCAATATCACAAAGTTAATACTTTTTAACGTTTTTTAAGGTTTTTAAAAGTCAACGTATAGTATGGCTTACTATAACAATTGCAATGCTCTATTGGCAGACATTCGAACAGCCTGTAAGCTTCGCACAGTTTTAAAACATCTTGCAATTGTCGGCACATCAAGTTTTTTTTTGCCTCGTCGTATTCAGTTAAGGCATGTCTTTTTGTAAACCTAAATTTTATAATTATACACAGGTGTGATTTTAAAACATTGATATTGGCTCATTTTACTTGATATTAGTATTCGTATGACCACTTACCATTCTCGAAACTTGACAATCTTAATCTTATCTCTCAAACTTTCTTCTTCAGCTTTCAAAAGTTCTTCCAACACGGTTATCAAGCTGTTTGTGTTCTTGCAGTACCTTGAACGAGAAGTTGATTTTGTCTTTAGATTCTCATTTTCAGAATGATCATTTTCGATATTCAAACCATTGTTATCTTCAGTAGCTGTTAAACAGCAACTTTTAACTTTTTCATCTTTCTGCAGTTTCGTATATCTATGATAACATGTAAATCTGGTACGATTCAATTTTCGACCAATAGTTGCCCATTTATTGTTGTGTTTTTTGGCTAGTTCTGAAATGGTTTATCATTGTATGGATATTATCCTAGGCTTAACTACCATTATATAGGTATTATCCTGGCTTAAAAGGTCTAATAAGCGTAAAGATATCAATTTACGCCAAAAAATACAGTAGGTATTACTATAACTATAAATTTTATCAATGCTATTTATATTATAGTATACCATCCTAGATCTCTCTATAGTATTTCTGTATCAAAATACAAATGATCTTACTTTTAAGCATGATATCTTCACTCTCAGTCCACTCTCGATCATCACCTGCTTCTTGAGCTTTGTTGAACAATATGTAGACTCGTCGTACCACCTGAGCACATGTTCTGTCGACTAAACCTCTACAAAGATAAGCATAGAAGTAGGGATCTTTGGCTACACGTTTGCCTCTCTTTTGACCATCACAGAAAACCTCTGACGCTTCTGACGGATCAAAGAGATTGGTCAGTTTACAGTAACTTTTCCAATTTCGCTTGATTTGGCGATCTTCGGTGGGATCGAAGCGACTTTGCTTTAGCTTTACACCTGGAAGGGGTGGTTAATATAATTATGGTAAAAGGTACAGTAAATGTCCTTCGTATTATACCTGAATTTGTTTGGCTTTCTCGTACTATTCTTTACGTTACCTTACCTTACCCTACTTTACCATACTTTGCCTTGTCCTAACCTACCCTACCCAATATCTAACCCTACTCTTCCTTACCCTATCCTACCCTTTCCTACTCAACCTAACCTTGCTTCGTCTTTTTTTGCTCTACCCTACCTTACCGTGCCATACCTTACTCTACCTCCAATTTACTCTGTCTTATAATATTGTATCTCACGATAACTCACCAAACTCGGCCAACCGTCGATTTCCTTCCTTGGTAAAAGCCGCTCGTCGATAATGATAAAAAGGTATGCCATCGTCAAAAATACCCACTTGGCCAATCGTATCCACACATGGAGCATCTTCTATTTCTTTTTGTATCTCTTCGTGCTTTGACCGTTTGATACCCAAATAAGACACTTTATGGAACTTTTCAGGATCAGAAATCTCCAGTTTTACCAAGTTTTCATAATATTTCTGTAGACTAAGCTTTGTTTCTGCGTATCTTTCTGCTACAGACTCTTTCATGGCTTATTCTGCTTTGTGGTTGGGGTTTGTCTGAAAAATAAAAGGTTATGTTAGAGATAAATTAATATATTATAGTAGATACATTCATTAAACTGAAATGTAAAACATTATTTTATAGGGATAAAACATAAAAATATAACTTTACAAAGGAAAATCGAACCTTTATTCGCAAACTAATGTACGAACGCATTGGATTTTAGCCGACCGAGAGCCAACGCGTCTCTTTTTCTTTCTCGGCTTTGAGATGACAAGAGTAATATAACTTTATATATATATATAACAAGGTAGAACAAACACATGTGTTATAAAACACTTAAAATTTTAATAATTTGAACAACAAATAAACATTTACAAACATTAAATGCAATATAATGATAATTATACGATAACACTGTTATAAAAACTGCGAAAATTGGGCGCGACGTGCGGTAAATTATTTTTGCGCCTTTTTTTCTTTGAAAATGAAAAATTTCGAGGAAAAAAAATTGTAAAATACGGAGCATTTAACTGTTACTACAAGAATTTTAGTTAACTTGGTTTTCCAAAATTTGTTTTACTTTTTGTTTTATTAAATTTTTGTAAAATTTTTGAGATTTTAAAGGGATTAACGTCTAAAACAATATTTTAAATCTTCAACTGTTTTTTCATTGTAAGAAAGACAAGGTTTTTGTAAAAACGATGTTGGCCATATTTGAGAATGTTTTTCAAATATTTTTAGACAACAGTTAAGACGTTTTATTTAATTTTTTGAAGGATTAGTTATGTTGTTTTAGATTCATGAGGTCTTGTCGCAGACTTCAAAGTTTTTAAAAAGTTTGATGTCGTTTGTTAGTTTGTTGTAATAAATTGCTATAATATATACTTTTCTTGCTTTTAAACATAATTTTAACATCTTTCAGGCCCATAATGGACAGAACAGAAGACTTTGGTCAACCCTTTACCAATTACAATGTTGCTAGCGATTTGTTATACCTCATTGACCAATGTGATCAGAGATGTTTGTATGAAGCTAGTAGATGGTATGTTGACATTTTCTTTATTATTGTTTAATTTTTAGGGCAAATGAGCAGTTAGTATATATGGAAGATACGATAACAAGTCAACTAGACTTTGATTCAACAACATACAACGATATGAGCGGCCCTAAACGAGTATCGTTGAATCTTGTTAGGAAATTGATACAGAATTGTGAATACTATCGAGCTAGACAGTTTTTGCAAAAGAGTCGGCGTGAATTACCGGTCGAAAACTTCTTATACTACTTTTCGTGGTACATGGTAAGGTTTTGGTATTTTTGATCAAAATTTTAGAAAAGTTTGGACATCAGTTTATGTTTGAGATGTTACGAAGAGTAAAATTTAGCTTTTGAGTACTTTATAAGGTTAAACTTATTGTATTAGATTGTAAAATACGATGTTTTGATTTTGTTTTTTAAATTATGTAGTGTACTATAGAAAAAGAACTGTAAGTTGTCTAATATAAATAATTTTTATTTTTAGATATGTCAAAGAAAAAAGGCGGAAAGAGAAATAGAAGAGATAGAAAAGAAAGAGAATCAGAATGATGAGCTGTTTTTTGAGTTATCAAAGGAAATCGAACGACTTCAAAGGAAAAACCCAGAAGCTTTTGATTCTTTCATGTATTATTTGTAAGTTTGTGGTTTTAGCTTTAGAAATTGAATGCTTTTTCAATTTTAAAAATATTTTAGGATTTATGCTTAAAATTTTTTAAGTATTGCAGCTTAAATTAATGTTGATGTTTTAGATTAGCACAGATAAAGTACGACAATCAACAAGTGAAAGATTCAAAGAGGTTTGCTATGTTTGCAATTGAAATGGACCACAGATGTTGGCCAGCGTGGGATTTATTGTCTAAAGTTTGTACTGAAGCTGATTTTGTAAGTTTTTTTTATTTTTGTTTGATTTTTAGGCGTATCTGTGATTGCTACGAGCAGCTTAAGCTTATATAAGGTATTTATGTGCTGCTAAGGCATATTTTTGAACATCATCATCTATTGAGGCTTGTTGTTTAAAGAAATCAAGTTTTTTTTGATATTAATGCAGACTTATGTTATTGTAGATCTTATCACTTTTTATACTTTATATTTCTATAATTAGGGTTAAATATATTAAAAATTAACTTAGAATGACATTTCAGGCCGAACTAGAGCAAAAACCATTTTATCGCACATGGCAATACATTTTGTTCGCGGCCGAAGCAGCTTTAAGGCTACAGTTGTTAACAATGGCTAATGATTTCTTCACCGAATTGGGAGACAATGTTCACTAATCATCCGTACATCTTGTGCAGCATTGCTACCGCCAAAATTAATATGCAAGGTAAGAATATTGATGTATTTTTGAATTGTAAAGAAATTTTTTGTTGTTTATGGGTTGTAAAGAAAGTTTTTGCTATTTTACGTTTTTTAAAGAAAACTACCGCTATTTGTAATGTTGTAAAGAGAGTTCTTGCAATCCTTTGTCTTGTAAACAAAGTTTTCGCTATTTTTTTAAAGGAATTTCTTGCCATTTCATGTTTTCCAAAGCAGTTTCTTATCATTCTCTGTCTTGTAAAGAAAGTTCTTGCCATTTTATGATTTAATTATTTGTTCAAATTAAAAAAATATTTTTAGAAAACCAAGCAGCCCTGGAGTTTTTTGACCGAGTCCGAAAGATCGACCCATATAGAATCGACCAAATGAACTTGTATTCAAACGCTTTGTTCATCAGAGATGAAGAATTGAAACTAACCGAATTGGCCGACTTTTTCGACACAAGTCATCGATTTACATGGGAGAATTGCATTATTTTAGGTAAGAATCTGTTTTTTGTTATGATAAGGCAATTATTAACTCCGTATTTTACTAAAAGAAAGTCTTAATGGTTTCTGGAGTTGGTACGTTGCTACAGATTGTTCTACGGAAGGGGAGGAGTGAAAGCAAAAAAAAGTTTGTTTGCCTAAAGTTGGCTGCTGAATTAGTAGCTTTACGTATTCGTTATAAGTTAAACCGTATTTTACAAAAAAATTTTTTGTCATTTTACTTAAAACAGAGTCTAAAAAGCTTTAAATTTTAAAAATTTTTTGTTTTATCATAAATTTTTAATTCTTCAGCCAACTACTACAGTATACGGAAAATGCACGATAAAGCGATAGAATTCTTGAGGAGAGCGATACGATTACGACCAGAAGATTCACAAACCTTTATTTTGTTGGGTCAAGAACTGCTTCAAACCAAGGACCATCAGGCTGCCACATTGGCTTATCGACAGGCTATTGGTAAGGTTTTTAGGCTTTAATTCAGGGTATTTGGATGTTATCTATGACTGAGAATTCACTTTTTGATACTTTAGTACAAGGTCTTTTAAAGTTTTCGAGTGAAAATCAGTTTTTGAGTATGGTACTATATAGTACGGCACTTGGAAATTGAAAAATTTGTTTTACAGAGTTCTGTAACTTTAATTTTATAGTCGTTTTAAGGCTTAAAATGACTAAAAAATGTTTATTTTAATACCTATTTTTCATTTTGGTACCCCATTTCCAGCACTAGACCAAAAATCCTTTCGCGCATGGTACTGTCTAGGACAACTCTACGAGATTCTCAAATTGCCAGCTTATGCACTATATTATTATCAACAGGCGGTCAGATGTAAACCGACCGATTCGAGAATGTTGATCGCCACCGGAGTCATGTTGGTATCGCTGAAGAGGTACGAAGACGCGGAGAAATGCTTCAAAAAAGCATTCCAAATTGGAGATGTCGAGGGAAATGCTCTGACTGAATTGGGAAGGTAAGGACTTTGTTTAGAAACCAGTTTATGGCAAGAACTTTCTTTACAAAACAAAAAATGGCAAAGACTTGCTATACAAGACGTAAAATAGCAAGAACTTTGTTTACAAATTATAAACTGGCAAGAACTTTCTTTAAAAAACATAAAATGGCAAGAACTTTGTTTACAAAACATAAGTTGGCAAGAACTTTCTTTACAAAGTAAAAAATGGCAAAGACTTGCTATACAAGACGTAAAATAGCAAGAACTTTCTTTACAAATTATAAACTGGCAAGAGCTTTCTTTACAAAACAAATCATAGCAAGAACTTTCTTTACGCTATGAAAAACGTTTTTTACGCTATATTTTGTGATATAATGATGTTTTTCAGCCTATATCAACTAATAAAACGTTACGATCAAGCAGCTAGAGCCTACGAATACTTTTTAAAATTATATTGTGATGAAACTAAGGATGTGTCGGTAAGTTTTGGTCGTATGCTGACCTCTTTTTTCATTTTGGTCAAATTTTTTGATTTATCTAGTATAATATACAAGTTTATGGGTCTTTTCAAGGTTTTATTTATCACAATATATTGGTTTAGTGCATTTTTGGTTTATTTAAATTTTTTTTTATTTTGGTACCTACTTTTATATCCAGATATGCCTAAAATTTCACTTTTTCTTGAAAAACTTATTCTTGAAAAACGACTACTTTTGACACTATTTTTAAAATTATTAATTAAAAAGCACTATATAATGCATTCTATTCAGTACGGCGACGAAGACACGATAGCATCGGTATGCAAATTCCTCTCCGAATACTACTTCAAACGGGACGAACTTCAAAAAGCCTACGAATACTCACATCGATGCTTGCACTTTGACAAAACCAAAGAACATGCCGCTCAAATGTTGAGGAATCTGAAGATCGAACGAGCCAAAGAACCGGAAAAGGAGCCGGAACGAGCGCCGGTTGATATGAGCATGTCCATCAACTCCATGATGCAGTCGTTCGTGCATCAGAGCACGCCGGCTGCTGCGCATACGTCAAGGTAATGATGGTAGTGGGCTAGATGTAGACCTGAAAGGGGATTACTAGGCCCGGTTTCGTGCTGGGGTGGGTCGAAGAATATTTGAAAGGGTCGGGTCTGTATATTTAGGCTCGAGGTCTGGGTATCACCTAAGGCTTGCATTGGAGTTGGGCTGAAGAATTGGGATCTGCTTTGAGTTGGGCAGATGAATTGGCTTGGGCGTCTTAATTTAAATGTTTTTGACTAATATTAAACTTTCTAGAGTCCACGTCTTCAACGACACCATCTCCCTCGACCAGACCATCAACAACCGCCCCACCTCACAACAACAAGCTCAAGAAGAGGACAATGCGGACGAAGTGAGCATGGAAGACGCCGACGAATCGGAACAAGTCTCTTTTTAAATTATCGTGTAAATAAAGTTTCTTCATTCGAAAAACTGTAATATTCTGTGTCAGATCATGGGTTTATTTCCAAATTTTATTCCTTCTTCTCCTTTTGCATCAGCGGTTCTAATGCTTTCACAATCAGCTCAAAGTTCGGTCTGTCGTTCGGTTCCGTGGCCCAGCACTTCTCCACCAGTTTGCACACCGCTTCTGGAGTACCCTGAAACAACAAAGGTTGGTTTTTATATACATTATGTAGTATGTATTGGGTTGGATCAAAAGTAACGCGACACTTTATATTTAATTTTCAAGTGAACAGTGTCCCGCTACTTTTGGTTCAACCTAATATTAGGTTGTCCGGAAAGTTCTGCAATATTTGAGTAGGTAAACTTTGAAAAATCAGGAAAAATTTATTTCTTGACGGAAAGAAAAAATTCTTTTTTTGTTTGTTTGTTTGTTACCTAAATTATTCAAAAAGGTAAGTTACATAACTTAATTTCATTTTTTTGTATTGTTTTAGGTATTAGAAAAAAATGGAGAAATCTCGCCTGCGCGTGATTATATGGAATGAATTCAAACGCGGAAATACTGCGGCAGAAACCTTCAGAATCATAAACGAAAATGAGGGTAAGAATGTTGTGAGTTATTCTACGGTGACCAGATGGTTCGCAAAGTTTCGTGTGGACGATGAGAAGCTTGAAGACAAACCACGTGCAGGAAGACCCAGCAAACTTGACAAAGATGCTCTGAGGCGCAAGATTGAAGATGACCCACATATTACAATCCGGGAGTTAGAAGAGTTACTAAACTGTGGAAAAAGTACCATTGGTGATCATTTGAAGGCAATGGGTATGGTCAAAAAGTTGGACACATGGGATGGGTGCCTCACAATTTCGTGGAATAAAAAAGCTTGTAAATCTTTGGCAAGACTGTATTGATGCAGCTTTCCGGACAACCTAATAGTTACATTATGTTTGTTTTGGCAATATTTGAAATGAAAAACTTTGAAAAATTTAAAAAATTTGAAAATTTGGTCTTGAATCACTCACCGCCGGCATAGTCATTCGATAGTTTTGGACCACAATCTTGGCGCGAGTTTGAATATTTGTCAGGCCGGGGTAGGGTTCGGCGCCGTCCGCGTATATCTCCCACGCCATTACGCCGTAGGACCAGACATCGGTCTTACCCGTGTACATTTTTAACTGCATTGTTTCGGGTGCGAGCCATTTGACTGGGACCTTGTCCAGCCGATCGTCCTGCAGTATTTTGCGCTCGTCTGACATACCAAAGTCACTGATCTTGAGGTCGTTGGTCTCGGACAGTAGGCAGTTTCGGGCTCTGAATTTTAAATATTGGGCTTTGAAAGTGATATTGAATGCTTTGAAAATGAGGTATAAGGCTTTGAGAGTGGCATTTTATAATTTGAATTGACATTTTGGGTACCTTTATATAACAGTAAGGTCATAAAATAAAAAAGGACTTTTTTTACAAAAAATTTTTTTTTCTATTTTGTGAAACTTTTTGGCAGAATAAACCCGTAGCTACGTTTTAAATGCTACTTGGGGCTTCTAAAAAGTGTTACCGTTATTAATAGCTAACAATGATAAAAAACTTACGCGATATCACGATGAATAAAGCCCTGCTTCTCCAAATATTCCAAACCAATGGCGCTTTCGTAACAGAACCGTAGTTTTGTGCCCAGAATCTCTTGTCCTTTGTGCTTTTTTAAAAAACCCAGCAAAGATCCGCCCATGCACAACTCCATCACAATCATTAGAGGGTGCTCGTAGACCTGAAAAAGGCAAAGTTTAAAAGTTTACTGTCAAAGAGGTTGAAATTTTATAGGTTACAGTAAGAAAAATTGGAATTTTAAAGGTTTATAGGAAGAAAAATTGAAATTTTAATATTTTAGTGTGTTAAAAAAGTCTTGTCGTCAATTTACATCTATTTACACGTTCAAAAACGACAAGACTTTTTTGGCGTTAATAAAATTTAAAATTTTGAAATTTTTTTTGAGATTTTAAAAGTTCAGGTTAAAAATTTGGTTTTTTATAACCCAAAAAAACCCACCGCAACTCCCATGATTTTGACAATGTGTTTGTTGGAGAGCTTCCTCATCAGTCGGGCTTCTTTCATGAACTTGAGACGGTCGTCGCGACTGACTTTGCCTCGAATTGTCTTCACTGCCACTTTTATTGGAACACGGTCCTGTGTTAACACTGCCAGATATACCTAAAGCATTATTTTTAAGTGGTTTTACAAGTGTACCAATATTATCAGTTTTGGTACCATTTGTACTATTGGGTACCAAGTGTACCATTGGTACCAAAAATATTTTTATCGTAAAAAGTTGCTTGTATAGCGTGAAAAACAAGATTTTTTACTTTAGTACTATAAAATGTACCACTTGCACCACCAACTGTACCAGTAGTACCATTAAGCAAAAAATTTTTATTTGCTTAAAACCTGGTTAAAAGTCAAAACTTACTTCTCCAAACGCGCCTTCACCCAACTTTTTGGTCAATTTGACGGAATCATGATTCAAAAGCCATGGTTGCTTATCAACCGGCTTCTTCAGTTTCAGTGCCGACGCTGCTGATACCGGATTACTTGTTTTTATGTGCCATTCGATTAGTTCTTCAATACTGTTTTCCTGAAATGAATAAACTTGTTTTTGAAGGAAAAGTTTTAAATTTAGGTAACAATTGGTGAAAATTTGACTTTGGATAGGTGAAATTTAGAATTTTCGTCTAGAAACAGGCAAATTCCCTTCCCAAACTTACATGGTGATTCTCCAAGTAGAAGCTGCCCTGCTCTGTCTGGTTGATCAAAAAGTGTGAGACCTTGTCGCCGTTGCCGCGAACAGCCAATGTGATTACCAGCACGCCCTTAACTTCCGATTTGCGCAACAAAAAGTCGCCTTCGACCTTGAGCAGCGGCTCCACGTCGTGTCGACTGAGAAGGCCGTGATAGTAGGGCAAGTGGCGTACCTTCTCCACCATGTCCAGGGCATCTTCCTGCGCGCCGCTGGTCGGCTGCTGGAGCACGGAGGCCGTTGTCGTGACCGTCACATTTGTGGCTGAGCTTTTTTTCGGTCTGGAAAGGGGACTAGTTTAGAAATGGTACCACAAATCAGAAATAGTGGTAAAGAATGGAAAGTGTATTAAATTTAAAAATAGTACCAAAATTGAAAATTGTATTAAAATCATAAGTAGTACTACATTCAAAGATAGTTCTAGAAAGTGATAGCGTACCAAACGAAGAAAGTATACCAAAAAGAAAAAGTGTACAAAAAAAATAAAAAAAATGGTATTAAAAATAAAAAATTGCACTAAAATACCCCTAATAGCTAATTATAACCCCCAAAAACCAAGAACAACATACCATGTAGCTTTAATGTAAGTTATACGTAGTAGTATCGTCGGTCGATTCGACGTGACGTTGATAGCTGCAGAATTCGCCCGCTTCTCAAACGAAAAACTCGGCAGAATGAGCAAAAATGAGCTGATGTCGGAGTTTTCGACCGTTTTAATCAGTCGAAAAATTCGCATATTAAAAATAAAAGTACTAATTTACTTTCTCAAATAAACATTTTACTTTATGCTGTTTTTTCTAGGCAGAGTTGTTGTCAAAACTAGTTTTGATTTTATGTAGAAAGACAGTTTCAACTAACAGGGAAAGTACACTACCTGCCCCGCTTAGAATCAGCTCAAAATTTTTATATGAACCCCTTGTACTACCAATAGTACCCATAAAAATTTTAGCTTGCGCTTTTGAGTTTAAATTTGAATTATTTTGCTTTTTCGCCAGTTTGGTAAATTTAGCATTGTGTTTCAAGCACTTTTTTTGACTTTCCAGATAAGCTAGGCTTACAACTTTAAAAATGTAGGTTCATTTAAAGATCTTCTACTAGTATATCAAAGAAAAAGTTCTAAAAATCAAAAAATTGCAAAGTTATAAGCTTGAAACACAATGCCAATTTGGTGGGAAATTCAAAACGCCATTTTTTTGATCCTGATTTTCTCGAGATTTCCTGGAAAGCGCGATTTAGTACTTTGATGAAGATCTTACATTTACATGATCTTTCTATGTAAAAATTTTGAAGTCAATCAGAGCGGGGCAGGTTAATTAAAAAACAAATTTTTTAACTTGATTTTTTATTTTATATTGCTTTTGTAAGGTGTAGCCTTTGTTAATATGTATTATGTATTATTATTATTGAACAAGTTAAATTTTAGGTTCAACTCAAAGAGCTAAAATACAGTCAACTTCAGTGGATACCATGAAATTGGAATGGAAATTGATTGGCGACAAATTGGAAAAGATTATGGTAGGTTTACCAAGTTTTTAAATGTAAAATAACAGTAAAAACTTTGCTATATCTTTTGTTACTTTTATTTACTGGTAGTATATGTTTCTAATACGCAGTTATACTGCAATAACAGATTGTTTTGTATTTACGCGGCAGTTCTTTGGCCTAAGTGTTTTAACTTTTAGCCTGGGCTTCTAAAATTAAAAAAATTGGCTTTGTTGTGAAATTGTGATATACCGTAGCTTTTGGCCAAATTCGAAAAACTTTTAATTTCGAGCTTGCCAAGCAAGGCTTCTTAGCGTTGGTATAGTCTGGTTTGAAGGTTTTAAAGAGCAAAATGAATTTTCTCGGGACAATTTTTAACCAAATCAGCTCAAATGTTAAGTAAAGATGTAAAATGACAAAGGAAAATTTTTCTGTGTACTCATTTTTTATATTTGACAGTACTATAAAGTATGAATTTATATTGGAGTACTAAAAGTAAGAAGAAGCCATACTGTAATAGGTACCCAATTATCTACTGTACCTTACCAAAGCCGACTGTAACTTTTAGCGCTAGTAGTAAGAGGCACTTTCACATAGGAATTTGTGGTATTATAACACGAAACTTATGGTATTACAACACAGTAGAAGCTGTGTAAACAAACGAGCGGGTAGGTCAAAGGATTCTTCGAATTTTGCAGTGCGGCGAAGGTACTATGTTACAATATTGGGGTGTTGTGATTTGTAGGTGGTTTTAGGGCGGGGTGGATTTTTACGTAAGGGTTATGACCTAGTGCTGTACGGCTGTGTTTACTATTTCTAATAATGGATGTTTGGGCCCGTTGGGGCCTAGAGCAATACGGTATTGTATTACAGTATTTATTTTTTTTAAATTTGTTTGGAATGTGTTTATTCTGCTGTTTTAAGAAAGGAAAAAGGCTTGTGATTTTTCTTATGTTCTCTGAAAAGAGGTGAAAGATCACCTAACGGCCATTCTTGGCCCCTTTCTTTTGACCGTTATCTGCCTTTTTGTGGCCTGTCACCGCAACCTTACAAAAGAACGGGCATTGGAGACAGCGTTCGAACTTCAAGTTTAACCCTATTCATTCTTCAAATCGACACGGTCAGAGACGGTTGCGTAAATGAAGCCGTCAATGTTCACGGATATGTCACAAATTGGAGAAGTGGACGTGTAAGTGTTTGTTTTAAGACAATATGGTAATTGTTAAAACCATCTAGGAATCTCAGATAGGTTTTAAAATGTCGTTTACTTTATCAATTTTATTTTTGGAAAAATTAAAAAATTTACAATTTATTATACAAGGAAAGTACTCGGCCTGTCTCGCTCTGATTGACTTTAAACTTTTTATAAAGAAAGGTCATGTAAATATAAGACGTTCAGCAAAGTACTAAATTGCGCTTTCCAGGAAATCTTGAGAAAATCGAGATCAAAAAATTAGGTTTTGAATTTATCGCCAATTTAGCATTGTTTTTCAAGCTCATAACTCTGTCAATTTTTGACTTTTAGGAGTTTTTCTTTGATATACTAGTAGAATACCTTTAAATGAACCTACATTTTTAAAGTTGTAAGCGTAGCTTGACTGCAAAGTCGAAAAAAGTGCTTGAAACATAATGCCAACTTTGCCAAATTGGCGGGAACTTAAAATAATTCAAATTTAAAACTCAAAAGCGCGAGCTAAAATTTTTTATGGGTACTATTGGTAGTATTAGGAGTTTATAGAAACATTTTGAGCTGATTCTGAATGGGAAAAATCGGGTACTTTTCTTGTTAGTTAAAAACCCGCTTTTATCAATGTCTTAAAAAAAAGATTTCTATCAATTACATTTAATTTTTTTGGTTAAATTTTTTTTATCAAATCATCATAAACAGATTTAAGTATGATAGACATTAAAAGTGATTGTCATGCAAAGAAGTGCTTTTGTAATTCTAGAGTAACCCTGAAAATATTGAAACCCAATATTTTTTAAAGGAAGAATTGGTCAAAAACACCGTTTCAAGAGCCAGACTTAGATGCAAAACCGCATAACAAGGTGGTTAAACTAACCGTCTTCGGAAACAAAGCCGTAGTTTTGAAGACCAGCAAAAGTGGCATGGTAAGTCTTTATTTTGGTATTTTTAATGATTAGAAAGTTATGAAGCACAGTTCGTTTTATAAGACAAATTTTGCACAATTTGCGTTTCAGGCGACATTCTTCAACGTAAAAGTCCAAGACGCTTAAGGTGGACAAGAATGATCTACTGCACAATTTGCGTTTCAGGCGACATTCTTTAACATAAAAGTCAAAGGACAAGAATGATCCACAGCTGAAGCCCGAAAAGAAAATTGAGCTAAAACTGACAGACGCATCATGCGTAAGACAAGCAAAAAGTCCAAGAAGCTTGCTTTGCGTAAGGTTGAGGAAGAAGAAGACGATGTTGACGCTGAAGATGATGAAGTCGACGAAGAAGAAGGGTCAGAAGCAGAAGATGAGTATTGAACGCTGATGAAATTATACGTAAATAAATGTTAAGACAACCTTTTATTAATATTATTTGACTAGCTAATAAATGACAATATCATCATGTTGAACACTTAAAACTTAATGGTTTAAAAAATGCCAATTCCGACCAATTTGGGTGCGGAAAAAAAATTTTTTTTAATTAATTGCACTAATTATCACTCCGCTTTTAGAACGAGACCTGAGATTGACACAGACTGTATTTTAAAAAAACTTTTTTTCTATATCTTACTTTTTAGTACTGTAATAGATACCTATGCATCTACTGTACCACATCAAGCTCTACTGTAACTTTCTGCTCATCAACCCTTTCTTTTTGGATGTACAGTAGTAAAAGCTTGAAATCATACTGTATTTTAAAGACCTTATCCTAACTTTTATTTGTTAGTATTGTAATAGATACCCAGGTATCTACTGTTCCTTACCAAACTCTACTGTAACTTTCAGCTCACCAACTTTTTCTTTTTGGATATACTGTAGTAAAAGCTTGAAATCATACTGTATTCAATAGTTTTAATGTTTTTTTTTTCAGGAAGTTTGTATTGAAGAACTAATCGAATGACACATTTGGTCCCGTATCAACAGCTCTCGCTCTGAAACTCAAGAAGCCAGTGGATAAGAAACCATGGTTTCTGGATCACGATTTGGACAAAATGATTAAAAAGCTGAGTTTGTGAGGTCAGTTTTAAATTTTAATTTTTTTAACAAAATTTGCGTTTTTGGTACTATTGGCACACTTAGTTGTACTTTTAATGCTATTTAGTGGTAGTGTCGACTTACTTAGTGATATTGTTGTCACAGACCAATGGTTATGTTGGTTAATTTGGTTGTACTATTTAATTATTTAATGGTATTATTGGTATGGTACTAAACATTTTCCTTTTTAAAATTTTGTTATACGTTTGTATAAGATGTCATTTTGTATATTTCTACAGTACTATTCGGTACTTTTATATTTATGTTCAACTAAAAAAAAAGAAATATAAACGGGATTTTATTTATTATGCGCTTATCTCTATAGCAATGTCATGATATAGCGAAACGGAACGTTCGGCTTTCGTTTTCTTTTGTGAATTCGAATTATTCAAAATGGAGCAGGCTGAAGGCGAAGCGAAACCGCCGGTTGTGAAACGACGGGTTTATACGGTTGGGCAGGTAAGTTGAAGTTTTGAAGTTATTTTTATAGGTTTTTAAGTAACAACTGATTTTGTTGGTTCAAGTTTTTGCGTGATATAGGTCTTTAGGTAACAAATGGGTCTTAAGCGGCAATATTTTTAAAAATACCACACCCAAAGTCATGTTGGAACTAAAAAATTACGTTGAAATGAAAATAACAAGTTGTAGTTGAAAATCACGTTATACCTTTTAGTCCGTCCGCGCCTTCCCAGAATGGACATCAACGCACGGCATCCCTCACATGGGTCGCACCAAACCCTACTGTGTTGGCTTTTGGACTATCATCACTCTAATCGCTCTAGGCCTGTTAATTTGGCAATTAGTACTTATTGTCATCGACTACTACCAGCATGACGTCAATGTTCAAGTACAGCTCCAGTTTGAACAACGTACTTTTCCAGCTGTAACGCTGTGTGATTTAAACCCGTACAAAAAGAGTATCGCACTTCAGAACAGTAATATCAGCCAGTTGATGGATACCTACTTGTACGCGATGCAATCAATGTCATGTGCAAGCTATTCTACCTGTACTTGGATTTCAAACTCTACTATGGATTCTTTGATGGATTACTACGGTTTTACGGTAGGGATTTTGGTTTTTAGGTTTCAAGCTAAAGCTAGCATTACATATTAGGTTGTTCAAATAGTTCTGTGCCCTTCTTAAAGCAAATGTTTTGGTAAGAAGCCCGGAATTAGTTGAACAGCTTAATATTATAGTATACTTGATGTTGTAAAATACTAACACGAATCCTTGCCGGTATGACGTTTCTTACAGTGAATGGACTGGTATTACATAGTAACTTTTGGTCACTCTCACATTTTACAGGGTTTAAACGACACGTCAGCTCTGCAAACCAAGGCTAAAAGAGTATTGGACTTGGAAGCGGCTGATTTTAACCTTACATCGGCCAAAACTCAATACGACGACTTTCTACAAGGATGCAGCTTCAACACAGCCGATTGTGCTGATAGGTAAGGTAAAATACGAGAGTTTCCGCTCATTTGCTTTAAAATGATACAGTCTTCCAATAATAATATAAATGTACTAAAAATAATGTATTAACGAATATATATATGCTAGCGGTAAAGAACAAAAGTATTATACGAGATTGCTGAAACCGTATTTTACCTCAAAAAATTACAGTGACTGGACGCTATTTGAAGACCCATCGATGGGAAATTGCTTTACTTTTAACAATGCTGGAGAAATGAATGCTACAAGGGCTGGTCCTATTTATGGCCTACGTGTAATTGCCAAAACTAACGTTTCTGAATATTTATTGACCTCAGACACTGCTGGAATGAGCATTCTGATTCATGATCAAGATGAATTTCCTTTTCCAGATATCTTTGGATACACTATTCAGGTAAAGTAATTTTTTAAGTAAAAATTGTATATTGCTCAAACTTTAAAACTGCAGTCTCTGTTCTTGGCCACGGAGAATATATTATGTTTCTTTTTCCGTTTATTAAGCTTACAATTACAATGTAACGTATATCTAACATAAGTTGCACATTGTGATCAAAAACGGCTTGTTATAAGCATATAGCGTAAACTATTGTGCTGATAGGCAAGGTAACTAAAAATATACGGCATGTTTACCTTGGAATAGTAATCTTTGCCTTACTATGGCTGGATTCTAATTTGGCCGGATATTCGTCTTCTTTGATGCTGGTTAAGACGACCTGACGATGCCGGTATTAACATTTAACTAATGCCTTTGGGCGCCTTTCAAGGTACTTGATCATAGCGTTTTCAGGCTTTGTTTTTAGGTTCATGTTCATTTTTTTTGTAAAGCTGAAATAAGATCAAGACTAAAAATGCGGAATTTTGAAATTGCTCCGTCTTATCAGGTTGTTCAAAAAGTAGTGAGTTATGTTTTATAATTATTGTTTACAAAAAAGTTTTCTGATATACAGTTTAGTGGCTCATTACTTTTTGAACAAATTAATATATAGCATAAGGCTAAAAGTAAAGTTTTTATTTGTCAAAAAAAAACTAGCTATTAAAAGAAAGAACACTTACATTAATAATCTTTGTGAACGACTATAATAAATTATATCTTACAAATTTATACTTCAAGATATACCACTTAGTTACTGATCTAAAAAACCGTTTAAAAACAGTTTTTTGGACAGAAGCTTAGATAGAGTTTGCCGAAAATTTGAACCAAAGTTGTTGTTGAGCCTGATAGGTAAACGGAGGTTGTCTAATCCAAGTGAATGAAGATTCATTGAAAGAAGGGGCTTTTATAGATAGTATTATATATAGGCATCGGCAGAAATTTATTGTATAATGTCTTTGCTTTTATGTTGCAGCTTCTTTGCGCGTTCACCTTTCCTTCTGTGGTTGGGATTGGCAAAGCGCTTAAATCGTGGTAAAGCACTTTACTTCATTTTTTTTCTATTTGAAAGAGATCAGGTAAAGCTATACTAAAAGTTCTTCGGGTAAAGTACAAAAATTGTAGCTATATCCAATAACTTTGAAACAATGAATCTTAAAACTATTAGGTTGTTCAAATAATTCTGTGCCTCTTCTCGAAACAAAACTGCGGAGTGTGGATGATGCAACTCACAATTAAATATACAACTCAATACAAATGCAATACCAACCTGTTTAACAATAAAATACCTGCCTTTTCAGATAGGAACAGCCACATCGATAGGTGTAACGTACACTGAGATATCACGGCTAGGAAGTCCGTATGGTGAATGTACTGATACGAAGCCATCTGACTATTTATATGATTTACAGTATAGTACTGAGGGCTGTCAAAGGTCGACTTATCAAGCTGATATGGTCAAAAATTGTGGATGTTATGATCCAGCTTATCCTCAGCCAAATGGTACCAGTACTATGTGCACTATTTCGTCGGATTGTAAGAGTTTTGTACTGTTTGGTATTGGGTTGGTCAAATTTTCTGAGCCTTTTAACTCTTAAAAGTTGCTTTGAGAGGGGCACAGAATTATTTGAAAAACTTAATATTAGGGTATTAGTACTATGAGTATTAGTATAACTGGTACTGATTCATTTATACTATTGTAGTACTATGCTTTTAGTTTTGATAGGTAATTATAACGGTACTATGCTGGTACTGTGTTAGTACTACATTGGTACAGTATTAGTCCTGCATTGATACTGAGTCCAAACTTTGAACAATTTTCAATTTAAGACTCATGTTGGAATACCCAGTCCAACGACACAATTTCCGACAGTTCATGTACTCAACCTTGTCATGAGGGATCGTACGAAGTTACGGTATCAGCTGCGAAATGGCCCAGCGCTTCATTGACAATGATTGGTGAATGCCAAGAAGGACAATATCCAAATCAAACTTGCCTCGAAATGTATTCGCAAAATGGAGCTTTGATTGAAGTTTACTACGAAAAACTAAATTACGAAACTATGGCGGAAAGCGCGGCTTATACGGTAGGAGCGGGCTGTAGTTTTGATAATATGCGTTATCGCTTTGATAAGATACATTATCGCTTTAAAAAGACACGTTATCGCAAAAAATATTCAAAAGATTTTAAAGTAAAATACGCCTTCTAGGAGTTTGACTGTTTTTTTAATCAAATCGTATAGAAGTATTATATGACATGTTAAAAAAAGTTATTACTTACAGTTCTCAACACTATTGTCGAACTTTGGTGGCCAGATTGGACTATGGCTGGGAATGTCAGTCATTTCTGTGGTTGAGTTTTTGGTCCTCGGCTTTCAAGTAAGTTGTTTGTGGTATGAACATTAAAAACAAACTTATAAGGCATAAGGCTATCTCAAGGCTTTGATAAAGCTAATTCAAGGATTTGATAAAGCACACTCAAGGCTTTAAGAAGGCTTAGTGGCTATACTAAAGTCACCTTAAAGCTAGACATGAGAAACGGGCCGGGCCGACCTTGAGCAAAATTTAGTTCGGGCCGGACTTGAAAAATAGGCCCTCCCATGTCTACTTAACACTTTGATAAAGCTCACTCAAGGCATTGCTGACAAATTATAAGATACGTCTTTTCATGACATGTTATTGTAGATATGCGCTTCCTGTATGTCAACCAAAGCTGGCGAAGTTGTGGGATTTTAAACAAAAAAACAAGACTATCACATTCACGATTTGTACATTTTTTAAATCAAATAATAAATTATTGTTATTCCATGGAAACTGGTTTAGCCTTTATATGATTATAAATTGGCCTATAAATAAGAACTACAGCAATATAAACACAATTTCGCAAGTTAAGGTTATAAGATTTACTTTCAAGAAACAATCAGTAATTTACTAATATACAACTGATATGAACGTAGATCCTGATGTAGAGCATTGCAAATGCATTGTGGTACACGTTGGGCGGTGGTCCATTCTGGGAAAATTTGGATGTGCTGATATAACCTAAATTGTCATGGGAGAGAGATAACACTTGATTGACCCTTTTCCTAATGCCGTGCTGGCGAAAGTAGTGCAAATTGTTCAGAATGCCAAACACTTTGTTGTCGTGGCGGGATCTAAAGATTCGTCAGGCGTAGAAATACCAGTGTTGTCTGAATGATAATAGTTCCATTACTATAATTACAACTCGTTTATTTTTTATATAAACCATATTATTGGCATATATTCTGATTATTATAATATATATTTTATGACAATTTTATTCCTTCGTATGCACTTGATAGAATCATTGAATTAAATAGGATATTCAATCAATATCGACAAGATACGCGTACTTTGGTACCAAACAGCTCAATAGAACCTAAAAATACTTTTTATAGCGTAAAATTGTGGATTTGTATAAAGTATTACAACACAGAAATATTGAAATCTCATCAATTTTTTAACAGTAACACTAATAGTAACCTACCTGCAATCCCAACAAAACAAATTCAATAAAAGAAATGACACTCATTCCCAAAAACAGTCCAATTTGACCACCGATGTTCGATAACATTGTAGATACCGTAGTTGACGCAGATTCAGTCATAGTTTCATAGTTCAATTTCTCGTAGAATACTTCAAGCCAAAGGGCATTTTGACTGAAAGTTGAATAACAACCCTCAGGGTAAGCATCTTCATAACAGCCGGCTACGTATTGGTCCAGTGGGGCTGGCCAGGTAGCACTAGAGATGGAGACGGTGTAGTCGCCTTCGTTACAGGATTGATAACAGTCTTCTCCGGCTGTTTGGTTGTTGTAGTCTAGCCAGCAGCTTACTGTAATTTTAAGATTTTGTTGAGTATGAACAGACTACGACTAGGGTCAGGCATAGGCTTCTATCCATATTCATATTCATTAACTTACAATTATCATCGATGCTACACCTCCCAACCGTAGTATCATTAGGAGTAGGGTACCTAGGATCATAACAATCACAACTCTCGATCATCAAAGCTTGAAAGTCTGATCTCTGACACAATTCTGTATTATAGTCTCCATCGTACAAATATCCATCAGGTATGGCATCAGAACAATCTCCATAAGGTGGTCCCAACCTCTGGATTTGAGTATAAGTGACTGATACCGAAGTCCGAGTACCAGTAGCTATATTGTAGCCAAGTGAGCCCGGAATTACATAGTCTGATTGGTCGTGTACCATCATTATGGCTGATGCACCATTGTTCACACTGATGTATTCTGACACATTGGTTTTTAATTGTAGCCTAAGGCCATAGGCTGGACCGGATCGTTGGGCTTGGTAGGCTGAGTTCATGTTGAATTGATAGCAGTTGCCTACGTTGGGATCTATTAGGGTGGTCCAGTCACTGAAAAGATGGATAATATAAAACGGGGTTAAGGATATTGGATTGAGTTATATTGTAAAATACGTCTAATGGTCTTGTATAGGTACACAGTGTAAGGGCGAGAGAAGGGGTCAATCACTCCCCTGCCTAAAACAAAATAAAATTTAAACTTGGTACCCCTGTTGAAAAAAAAAATTTTGTCGTTTACCGAAGCCTAATGCACCAGCCCGGCTTTGACTAGCTTTGATTTTGCAAAAAAAAACGTATTTTAAGAACTTACTCATCGCTACACCCGACAGTATTGAAGCTACAACTCAATATCAAGTCCTCGCGGCTTACCATGGCCGCTGACATGTTATATTCACCTGACGCCAAATAGACCAATGTCCTGGCTAGCTGTCTCAGCTGGCCAGTGTTTGTTATTGTCTAAAAGATTTTGTAAAATACGGCAATCAGAACTTGATGTTTATATACAAAAAATGATTTCAAAATTATGGACAAATGCTTTTAAAGAGCTGCAAAAACTTTCTTTACAATAAAAGTGTCAAAAGATAGTAAAAAAATGGTTGAAAAGATACTAATTTACAATTTAATAACCATTTTTGTAGTTATTGTGGTCATATTTTACTAAGGTAAAGCGTTAAACTTACTGAAAAGCGATATTCTTCTGCGTACTCGTCTAGAGTACTATTTGTCTCAACGCTACAGTTTGACGTACTATTACAAACTAGTTTTTGAGCTGAATACTCGTACGTGTCTAGTACTTGTTTTACCTGAAATAACGGACAATTAGTTAGAAGATGGAAAAATATATGAGTGATATTGTTTTAGACACCTCTGATATCTGTCTTACCTTAGGAAACTGATCCATCATGGAACTTTTATATGGATTACTATCGCAAACTGTTACTGCCGGAAACACACGGTCTTCGAATAGTAGCTGAAAAAAATTTCATACTAATATAACCAGTTTTAGCAAAGTTATGGGATATGATATTGTGATAGCCTATCTGACGGGCAAGTATAACATAACTTTAGTTATAACTTAAAAATTAAAATTAAATTCAGAAATAACTTACTTGTATATTGACGGTAACGCCATACTGATAATAACTTTGTATAGTCAAGACCACTTGCCATATCAGTAGACCCGTAGCAATCAATGTACATGTAAACCAAAAACTACAGCAAATTCGTCGCTTCGCCGACCCAAATTGTGGTATACCTTGGGTGGTGGTCCATTCTGGGAAGGTTCGAATGTGCTAAAAGAATTTAAATTGGCATAGGAAAGAGATACGTTAATACAATACAATAGAAAAGAGTTTTACATCCAAAATTTTATATTATTCATGATACCTGTCGAACTGCGTAGTACCGATTGAATTTCTTGTTTGATTCCATGAAAGAATCAATGGAATTTTAGCAAAAACACCTCATTATATTGTATCGTAGCGAAAAACATCAAATTTGGCCTTTTGAATTCAGGAATGGCCGCAAATTTAAAGGAAGTCGTCATGGTGAATATAATTTTATGTGAGACGAATAAAATAATAAATTCTAACGTTCGGTTGCAACAATAATGTTTTATAGCCGTTCTGGTTACTGTATAATTTAATTTTTTATAAAATTTCATTTTTTATAGTCTCTGGTTCGGCAAAACGGACATATTTGATAGTATAAAACAATCCTGCGGGCTGCATCGTCTCTTCTTCTAATATTCGGGCGCGCACCGCGGAAAAATTAATTCTCGAAAAATGTTTTGAATTTTAGAAAAGAAGGGTCAGATAAACATCTTTATGTCAACACAAGAGCCCTCTACATCATATAGACCACAAACAGGATGTGTAGATCTGGAGACATCAATCGATACTTATTGCACCTATTTGAGCAAGTTTCAGTTTGATAAAGCTCGAGATTTTTGCGAAGAACAACGTCTAACACAAGCAGCACATGTTAGCAGCAAACAATGGCAATGTTTAGTTGCTAATCTTTCTCAGGTGAGTATTTGTTACCTATTAATTATAGTTTTTGCAATTTTAGATCTAATTATATTGTTTTATCTATATTATTTCAGCTGGCTCTGAACGAGTCCCATTACTTCTCTCTGGTCTTCTTTTCGTCCAAGTTCTCTTTTCGGAAAGATAACCAAGTTCGGGAAGCATATGTTAATGTAAAGTAAGTTTATTTTTGTTATTTAATTTTGTGTTTAGGAATGAATTGGAATATTGTTATGAAGAATGTGATAAATCGACGGAAACTAATGAAAATAACGATGAATTCAAGGAATTTTTGAGGCAATTGATATGTCTATGTACGATAAGATCAAAGCTGGTTGAATTTTACGTGTTTTTAGTCAGTAAGTTAGGTTTTTGAGAGGTTTTTTGGCTGTAAGGAGATCAAACGTCATGGGTAATATACTTTTGTTCGATTTGGGGCAAAATTTTTGGTTTATCTTTATAAATATGGCCTTAAAAGTTGATTCAGATTCTTTATAGGGTTAGCAATTTAAAAATAAAAGTGTTTTAGTAGATTACTTTAAAAATTATATTGTTTTAGCTGATAACTGGCATCAAACGATAGAAGAATCTGAAAAGCACCTGAATATGATTAAAAACTCTATGGAGAAGGTTCTCGGAGACGACATAAAGCTGCCACAACTCAAGTCAATTGAAATAGAGCTCAAAATTTTGACGGGGTGTTTCAAAATTCAATCAGACTTGTTGAACATCAACTTTATCGACAGTTTGATCCAGCTGAAACAACTTGCACAAGACTTGAATACTTGGTTTTCACATGTGCCATTTAAGACGTCTACGTCGAAGCCTAACTTTTTGTTTTTTAACTTTGCCAAGTCTTCAAAGAATACGCCGAAGCTACTGTTACTTCATTGGTTTTCCAAGTTTTACAATACTTTATTGGCCAAACTGTGCTTATATGGTCATGAACTGTTTGTCTCTCATTTGAATTCGAATGATGTTAAAAGCTTGTTGAATGCTCAGCCAAGTTTCATACAGAGCATAGTATCGTACTCGAGGAGGGTCAACTCTGCCATGATATGTTTGTTATTGGATAGGATGGACAACAAAGAGCCGTTTTATGGTAAATACAGCTTTTTAATAGACAGTTGGTTATAAAATCATAATATATGTTTGAAATCCATTATATTATCAATGCTACTTCATTATTTATAAAAATCAATTTCAGGGTTTGGCTATCAAAACGCGTTAACAAAGTACGGCAAGGATAACATAGGGCCCCTGACTGGTCGGCATGGAATGTATCCAGCATTGTGCAGATTTCCGAATGATCAGAAGCTTTTTGACACGTTACATCCTAGTATAATATCGCTGATTCAAGACACGGCCGAAAATTCAGATGAAAGAATACGATTCTACTATGATCTACGGGCTAATACGGTAGGTTTGTAGTTTAAAAGTAGTTTTTTTCGGGTTATATTAAGTTGTGAAAATGATAAAGATGTGTTGTAAAAGGTTAAAATGTGGGAGCAAGAAGTGAAAGTAAGGTCTTAAACAAGGTAATTATGAAAAAATGCGAAAAATATTAGTTTGAAGTAATGAAAATAGGCTTAAGTGTATGACTTTGGTGAGATCTAGGCTTATAAATGTTGTTAAAAAGACTGAATATTGGTTAATTTATAAATAAGCCTAATGGGTCTAAGAACGATAAGCTTAAAAGTCAAAGAAAATAATCCAAATTACCTAAAAATGAAGAAAAATTTAAAAATCTCATCAAACATCATTAAAATCTATGAATTCCAGACGTATTTTACGGTGCTGGTGGAAAAGAATGTGCACTTGAGTGTGGTACTAAACCGAAAAGTGTCCGAAAAGGACCAAACTATCCAATTAATGTTTACTGACCTCCTTCATGGCCTCCGACTTATCAGCCTGATTCATGATTTGCGACAATCACACAAAAATTAAGGGTGCTATTTTAGTATTATGTAGTGGTCTAAAAGCTTAGTATTAGGTATGCTTACGTTTTACTGTTACTTTTACATTATCTTTTCAGTTTTACAATTATCGATACTTAGCTGATACTAAACAGCTACAGTGTAGGTACATACTGCATTGTATAAGTATGTACTGTACCGTATAAGTATCCATTGCACTGTATAGGTACATACTCTAGTATAAGTACGTACTGTAGTGTATAGGCACACACTCTAGTGTATAAATACATATTACAGTGTGTAAATACGTACTGTAGTCTACAAGTATACACTGTAGTATAAGTAAATACTGTACTGATTAGTGACAGTTAAATTTTTTTAACTTTTCAATCTTACTATGATTACTTCTTTTTATAAAAGTTTACTATAGTTTAACTATTCTATGTTCTACAGTCTTAACTAGAATTTTAACATACAATGTTTTTTTTCTTAACTATATTACTAACTATTTCTTAACATAAACTTTTATAAAATTGAAAAAAATTACCATTTATTGCTTTCGTCAGGTGATCATTGTGAATAAAATAAAGGACGTATATCAAACCTAATTACTTATTATAGTACATTTTTGTTTATTATATCGTGCTGACGATGTAATTTTTACAAGGTATTATATATTTGTTACTTTTGAATAGTAACTTTTGAGTTGCTAAAGCCAAAATTGGATTTTTTGGCTTTCTCTTCTTCTTCATCAATATCGTTGTTGGCCAATGCGGCTTGGAGCCGGCCGTGTTGCCACTTGGGAGCTGGTGGGTCTGGGTACTTCTCGAAGTATGCCAGCATGGCGTCTTCCAATTCTTGGTGGAGGGCTTCGAGATCGCTCATTCTTTAACTGGAAAAGGGGTAATTTACAAGGGGATATTGTTATAGTTTATATATTTGGAATTATAGTCTTAGGTTCTTCAAATAATTCTGCGCTTCTTAATTTTGCAAATTTGCTTTGAGAGGGGTACAGAATTATTTGAGCAAGCTAACACAGATATAGGTTTTATATTATAGTTATTGTTTTAGTATTAATAATGAGATAGATCCTCGTTTAGTGTAAGAAACAAAACTATACAACAAGTATTGATTTCATCTAATTAGGTTAGTACAGTGGAAACTCATTATAAGCAACTGCAAACAAATATTTTTTTGTGTTGCTTATAACGATAGTTGCCGTTATTGGACTTTATTTTCATTACATATAGAACTTACCTTGACCTTGATAACTTTACAAGTTTATTGATATTAAATAGTATATCTAATAAAGATATACTGCAATATTTAATGCTGGAGAAGCGGCCAAAAGCAGTTTTATGGCTAGAATTTGGAGCAGCGATGGGCAGTGGTTCAGTACTGTCTAGACGAGGAGTTTGGGAGCGAGGTAGGCGTTTGGTTGATTGCTTGATTGAATGAAAGAAAGGGAAAGACAGGGCCTTTTATAATATCTGCGATTGGCACATATTTTTAGGAGGCGTTGTATTTTGTTTAGCAAGAATTTTGTGCGGTTTTTTGTAGGCCTAGGTCGGGTGTATTATGTAATTCAAGTCAATTTATTTTGAATTGTGAGTGCTTTTAAATTTTTAATTTTCCAGCAATTTTGTTATAATAAGTCTGCCTTTGTTGCCTTATCTTGTAGTAGGATCCAATACATTTTGAAGATTTAAAAATGCTTGTTTTATACCGTATCTATTATGTTTTTGTGAATTAAAAAGGTTCTGGCTCGAAAATCGATCATTTTTTGATTAAAATCTTTGGATACTTTACTGCCTTTTAGTCTTTGAAGAAAATTTATCCTCGCCAATTTAATTTACACTAAAAAGCCTTTCTGTAAAGGCAACACCCCTTATAGTAAACACTAAATATCGGTCCCTTCGGGTTGCTTATATAGAGAGAGTACTGTATTAAGTTATTCAAATAATTTTGTAATTTTGCAACTTGTATAAAAAAATACGTTGCGTAATAAAAACCATTACTTACTAATATAAATAATTACCAATAGTATCTCTATGAGCAAATAAAAATTTTAAAGCTTACTTTACCTCAATATTTCATGGCTTTGGAATCCTGTGAAGCAAATTTTTAGTGATTTTTTGCCTTTTTTTCTGAATATGTCACATTTTTGAAGGACTTCATAATTTTTTACCAATGGTAAGTTGATATCATTGGTAAAATTAAAAGTACAATGCAAAAAACGAAGAACTCACATATTTTATGAAAATTTAAACTTTTAGCTACTAGTAATTAGAAAAATCTAGAGTCAAACAACATTTTTCAATTAAAATTCACTTTGAAAGAAAGGGGCACAGAATTATTTGAACAACCTCTAAAACTATTAGATAATAAAGGTTCAAAAACCTTTTTTTTTAATTACTAAAATTTTTATCCAGACGTATTTTACTGTACTGGTGGAAGTGCATTTTAGAGTAGCACTAAACCCGATAGAGTCAGAAAGGGACCAAACTGTATAATCAATGTTTACTTCTTATTGCTACATTTACATAAAAATTAGAAGTGATATTTTAGTATTATCTAGTGTCTATTAGTTTAGTATTAGATAGTTCTTACGTTTTATTGTTTTTTTTTATTTAATTTTTTTCTATTTAACAATTATAGATTTTTAAGTGATACTAAAAAGCTGTAGTATAGGTACATACTGTAGTAATTAGTGGCAGCTAAGTTTGGAAATTTTGAACTTTTCGATTTTCCTATTGATATTTATTTCTTTTAAAAGCTTACTATAGTATAACTACCACAAGTTCTACAGTCTACACTAGAGTTTTAACATTCAATTTTCTCTTTACTATATTACTAACTATTTTTTAACTTAACTGTCTACAAAATTAAAAAATGAATATTTTTGCATATGCCAGGTGGTCATTGTGAATAAAATAAAGTATGTCATTCGAGTCTATTTACATATTATTGCCAAGATTTATTATTTCAAGATATAAGTTTTAGTACAAGGTATCATTTATCATTTACTTCTCAATCGTAACTTTGGAGTTGCTGAACCCAAATTTGGACTTTTTGGCTTCCTCCTCATCTTCATCAATATTGTTGTTGGCCATTTCGGCTTGGAGCCGGCCGTGTTGCCACTTGGGGGCTGGTGGGTCAGGGTATTTTTCGAAGTTGGCGATCATGGCGTCTTCCAATTCTTGGTGGAGAGTTTCGAGGTCGCTCATTTTGTAGCTGAAAAGGGTAATTTACAAGGGGATATATTTAAAGGTTATATATATGGAATGATGCTATATAGAGATGTTATATGATAGTTATTGTTGTTATATTAGTTTAGTATGATATATATTTATAATATAAACTATGATATTGGTTTTGTAGAGTAAAATACAGAATTAAAACATTGATTTAACTATTATTGATTTTTTTACATAGTACAGAGAAACCTCTTTATAAGCAACTGAAAGCACGCTTTTTCAGCTTGAAACGGTATATGACTGTATTTTAGGACTTTGTCGTTCTGTCGCTTAAATTTTGGTTAAAAAACGTTGACTTATAAGGAGCTTTAACAGTCTATTAGAACAGAAAACTTACTTTGATAACTTTACAAGTTTTTAAATATCAGATAGTATATCTACTAAAGATATATTTTAATATTTTTGGCTTTAAAGCTGAAAAACCGACTAAGAGACAGAGTTATGGCCAGTAGTAGGTGCAGGAAGATCAGTGGGCTAACTAAGGGTTAGTACTGTCTGGACGAAGCGCTAGCAGTGTCGATGGCGGACGGGCACACGTTTGGTTGATTGTTTGATTGAATGAAAGAAAGGGAAAGGAGAGGGCCTTTTATAGTATCTGTGAGCGGCACATATTTTTAGGACGCACTATAACTGCTTAAACACAATTTTTGTGCGGGTTTTTCATAAAACTAGGTCGGGTATGACGCAATCAAGAGAATTTTTTGAATTTTTGTATTATAATATAATAAATGAAATTTTATGGCTTTATGTTGAAGTAGGATGCAATATGTTCCACAGATTTAAAATTTTTTGTCTCATACTGTACTCTTGATGTTTATGTAATCTACCTGATGTGAAAATCGATCTTTCCCAGTTATCCATTTAGAATCTTTAACTATTTTACAGCTGTGTTTTTAGTATTCCTACGTACAGTGGAAATCCTGTATTTTGTGTTACAAGCTTATAGTGATTTTTTTTTGGAATCCCAGATAATTCAAATTTAAAACAAAAGCGCAAGCTAGCTTTTTATGGGTACTATGGGTAGTACAAAGAATTCATATAAAAATTTTGAGCTGATTATGAGCGCGACAGGTTGGGTACTTTTTCTGTGAGATCCTAATCAAGTGAATATATAGTTGAAAAATGTTATGACAATGTCTTTAAGACAAAAATTAGATTGTTATAAATACAGGAGTGCACTGTAGTTTAAACGCTAATTTTCTAAAATCAGCCCAATTCTTGAGGGCGCAGTTTGCTCATTTCTTTTCAAGTCATTCCGTTACACACTACCCGGCACTGGTTTTCGGTCAATAAATATTTACTTTTCCAAACGCATAAATAATTGTATTTTTTTGCGAGCGTGATGCAATAAACAGGGATCGTATGTAAACATTGCTGTCAACACAATAAACGCGGCCATCTACTTGAGACGAGTCATGTCATTTCACCTTGAAAAGCGGGTGTGTTTTTTTTCGAACTTTGCCTCCTTTTTATGCAACCGAAAAATTTTTTCATGCGATTTTTCCTTGTTTTTGTGACCTTTTCGACTATTTCCATCTTCTTGGAGGGATTCGTTGGAGGCAAAATTGGTTTGGTGTCGTCTGACTTACCTTAAGGTTGCACTTTTAAAATTTTAGGTAGATTTGAAGGGGTTTTGGGTAATTGTAGTCTTTGTTAGTGTATTGGTGCAATTGTTAGTGTCTTTGGTCGAATGGATATTTTAGGATAAAGCCTGATGGCTTAGTTTTTTGCTTTGTGATAGGCTTCGAATTAGGATATGGTTTTTTATATGAATTCATGTTTATATAAAAAATCTTGAGCTGATTCTGAGCGGGGCAGGTAGGGTACTTTTCTTGTAAGTTAAAGCACCGTGCTGTAAGTTACGGCAGGATATCGAAAACTGCTTTACAAAACTTTAGGTAGTATTACACTTAGTAGCAGATTGATTTTTGATGTGTTTTCGTGAGTAATTCAAGTACCATCTTGTACAAGATATAGTGAAGGGTACGGCTTGTTCTGTACCAAATATGTACGCGATAACTTTTGAATTCTTTGCTTTGTTGGCTTTTTCTTTCTTTTCTTTGCTTGTTGGTACAATTAAAAGGAAAAAGATTAAAATTCGAGGTTAAAGTTTTAATATTGCTTTCAGCTTGTCATTCTTAGGTTCTGTAAGTACTGGCACTTTGGTTTTTTAATAAAACACATTAATTCAATCAAACTTTAACAATTTTCTTTAATATCTCTATAACATAAGCATGGCTTAACTCATTTGTTTAAAAACATTTTTAATTTAAATTTCGAAAAAATTCGAATTTTGCGATTTTCTTCTTCAAATCGTGATCGAGGTCACTTAAAGGGGAAGAGCGAAACAGTTACGAGGAAGGGGACCTTCCAGCTCCTATTCTTTTTACTTTTTGGAAATTTCTTTTTTTTTCAATTTTTCTGTAAAAATTCGTTCGATATTTTTTGATTTGCCTTTTTTACGTTGAGAATAACGTGAGATGTCTAGTTTTTGGTCTTGAGGGTATTGTCATGACTTTTTTGAAATGAAAGCAATTTGTTATACATGAGTTTTAATGTAAATATTCTAAAATGTGTTTCTTTTTTGAAAGAAAACTTAGAATTCACTAAAACCAATTGATAACCTTCATTTTTGTTGCAAAGCAAAGTGCAAACACTTCCTTTCTAATCAAAAATCTTCAGTTTGTAGTATCGCAAAAGGTTTGTAAAGTCCAAAAACAAAACTGCAAGCTACAAACTGTCAAATTGACTTTACAACACCATTACAATTAAAAACACATTAATGGAGCAAAGTCAATTATTTTTGGGTGGAATTCTATTGTTATTTGTTTTTCTTTTCGGGACAGTCAAAGCAGCTGGATTTGGCTGGAATTGGATTAAAAACAATAAAGTTATATGTGAATGAGGAGCGTGGTTATTGTGAATGAGGAGTGTGATGTAATTTTAGTGGGTATTGTTGACGGTATTGGTATTGTTTGGGTAGTTTATTCAAAAGGGCTGGATGATTTGAATGGATTTGAAGATTTTGAAAGGGAAACATTTTTAAAAATTGAAATTTGGTAGGTTTTGATGAATTTTTGAAGGTCCGTATGCCTTTTAAGGGTATTATGACACATAGTAGGTTTGTCAAGTAGTTCTGTGCCCTCTAACCCCAAGAATTGTCTTTGAGGGGAGCACAGATTTATTTGATCAACTTATTATACAGGACATTTCAAGTTAATTTATGATAATTCCTTTTAAATTTGGTTAAAATGACCTTTCTTGACTATTTAGTAACACCAGACAAGATTTGATGTTCATTAGCCCAAAATACGATAGCATTTTTAGCCTATTGTCTTAACACACGACCACATTTTCGAAAAATATTATGTTTGTTTTGATAGTAAAACGATGTTTTACAGTCGCAAAAGTTTCCTAGACACGAATTTTTTATATTTCTCAACAGTGCCCAGAGGGCTGAATAAGAGATTCGGCTGAATCAATCTATAAAATACCACTTTTTTATGGTTTCTCTCGTATCTTTGCTATGGAAATGTTTTGAGAATTTTTTGAAAATTTGATTTTTTGGGATTAGATAGTTGTGAAAGGGTTTCGATTCAGTTGTGATAAGAATTGTGAGTTGTAAAGGTAGTTTTAGCAAGAACATATAGTGTTTTACTTATTACTTTGGTAATTGTAGTGAGAGGGTGTTGTAATGTCAAGAAAACGGCTCGTATTATAAGTAGACCTATAAAAGGAAACATCTCATATTATAAGTAGACCTATAAAATTCGAGCCCGTTTTTTTGGCCCGGCTAGACCTGATCGGCTTTCTAGGCTCGGCGTCGGGCTGGGTCAGTCAAAAGAATATTTGAAAAGGGCTGGACCGGCAAATGTGCGCTCGAGGTCCTAAACCAAGACTTGAGTTCTGGCCGGACTGAACAATTGAACCCGGCTTCTTTACAGGTCTAGGATTGGCTCACGGGTGGGGCCTTGGTTTGTGTTTCGGCCTTTGGGCCCACGTGTGCTGGGCAACATTAGGCCTAGTGGGTCTTCTTTTATGTCGATTAGGTGCCGACATAAAGATCCCGCCATTTTTTACAGGAAATTACAGGAAAAGAAAGGCGGGTTCTTTATGTTGGCACCTAATACTTACAATAGGAGGCTGAATTTTAAAAAATGAAAAAAAGTTTAGAATTTAATCATTTCAGTAGTTTTTATCAAAAATCACTCCTATTTTCAACTATATCTCAAAGCTTCTTTTTGTTAGTTTGTTTACCAAAACCAATAAAAAACAAACGGCCGTACAACCTGTTACGCAACAAAATTTATGTTTATACGTCCAATGTCTTGGCCAAAAGCCATTAATCGCGGCCCCGAGAAGATGGTTGGCATTTTTTCGTGATTTTTTTTGTGTGAAAATAAATAAATCCTATAGCGAGTTTATTTGGGCCGAGATAAGAAACGTCGAATTAATTTGCTACAGGCGCCTTGTTTTCGGCTCAAGATTTTCATTTCCATTCAAGGCCGTGGGGAATTCTCGCGGCATGGTAATTCTTAATTCTACCCTGAATTTATTGGGCGTGAATTAGGCGTGTAAAGGGGCTTGGCCAGACCCTGTTTTTTGGCTTGTTTTATTTTTTAGCCTGCCCAATTTTTTTAGATGGCTTTTTTTTTGGCTCGGCATCTTGGTTTGGACTCTGGCTCTAGGACATACGGGTTTGCAGCCCGGCTTCTTTTAAAGTTTCTTTGGTCTGGCCGGATTTCTTATATAAATCCATTAGTATAATAACAGGGCAAGTTGTATTGTACTGCTTCCGGGTCCTAAATGGCCAATAATTTAACAATTTTTATCTTTAAACACAATTCAGATATTATTCTTAAGTAAACAGCTTCAACATAAGATTTTTATTACACTTTTTGCAAGTCAAATCTTTCGTTGCGGGACCTAAGCTGGGCCTGAGGCTTGGTTTAGGCTCAGCCGAGTAAATT